ATGCAGTCTTAACATCCATCTGATGTAACTCAAGATCATAATAAGCAACAAGTGGCATGATTATTCTGAAAGAGTCTTTCGATGAAACCGGAGAGAGTCTTTGTATAATCAATACCTTCCTTTTGAGTATAGCCTTTAGCCACAAGACGCGCCTTATACCTCTCCACATTACCGTTTGAATCCCGCTTGGTTTTAAAAATCCATTTACAACCAATTGGTTTTGCACCTTCTGGTAATGGGACAAGTTCCCAAACCTTATTGTCTTGCATAGACTTGTACTCTTCATTCATGGCATCAATCCACTGTTGAGAGTTAGAACTTTTCATGGCCTGAGAGAAGTTGATTGGATCATCTTCTAACATTCCACTACTTTCCTCATGTTCTTGGAGAAATACAATATAATCATCCGGAATAGCATTTCTCCTTTCTCTCGTGGATCTCCTTAGTGGCACTGGTTCTTGAGGTTGTTGAGTTTGTTCTTCTGGAACAGGGAGTTGTTCAACATTGTCATCTTGAGGTTCCAGATTTACTTCTTGAGCAACAACAGGTATAGGAACCTGAATATTATCAAAAGTAACTGTATGGATTGGATCTGAAGCCAATTCCTCCTCAAAAGCAATGTCTGAATATTGTCAAAAGTAACTGTATGGATTGGATCTGAAGCCAATTCCTCCTCAAAAGTAACTGTATGGATTGGATCTGAAGCCAATTCCTCCTCAAAAGCAATGTCTCTAACCTTATTTCTCCCCCCAAACTCAACATCCTCAAAGAATGTTGCTGTTCCCGTCTCAAAAATATTCCTTATAGTGGGATCATAAAACTTATAGCCCCTAGAGCGATCAGGGTACCCAATAAAGTAGCTGCTAACTAAAAGTAACTGTATGGATTGGATCTGAAGCCAATTCCTCCTCAAAAGCAATGTCTCTAACCTTATTTCTACCTCCAAACTCAACATCCTCAAAGAATGTTGATGTTCCTGTCTCAAAAATATTTCTTATAGTGGGATCATAAAACTTATAGCCCCTAGAGCATTCAGAGTACCCAATAAAGTAGCTGCTGACTGTTTTGGAGTCTAATTTCTTTTCATTTGGCCGATAAGGCCTTGCCTCAGCTGGACATCCCCAACTGGGCTTTCGACCAGTTCAAAGCTCATAAGGTGTTTTAGCATCTGTTTTACTTGGTACTCTATTCAAAATGTAAGCTGCTGTCTTTAGTGCTTCTTCCCAGAGAGACTTTGGTAAAGAAGAATAAGAGATCATACTTCTTATTTAATTTACTTTTAGTACCATGTGATTCTACATGCAAGGATTCATTATAAGAAGCAATTGTATCAAGGAAATATAGGTTGTCACAAGTACTCAAGTAACCAGTTCCTACAATAATTGAATTAAAAGATAAATTAAATTGATTGTTTCCAAATGAACAAGAGTAACCTGATTTGTCCAATACAGAAACTAAAATCAAATTCCGTCTAAAAGACGGTACTACAAAAGTATCTTTTAAATCCAAATGTGAACCAGTTCCTAACAGCAACCTAAAGTGCCCAATTGCTTCCACATCTACCGATTGTCCGTCGCCCACAAAGATGTGTCTTTCAACATCACTTGGCTTTCGATAGCTCAGGCAACCCTGCATAGAAACACTTATGTGGGTAGTAGCACCAGAGTCTAACCACCAAGTGTTTCTAGGTACTGAAGCTAAATTAACCCCAGAACAGATCAAAGTAAGGAACGTACCCTTATTATCACGCCAGGCATGATATTTTGTACAATCCTTCTTAACGTGTCCAGGTTTGTTACAGAAGAAACAACCCTGATTATCCTTATGTTGTTTCTTCTGAACTGGACCCTTAGCAGCTTCTTTATCATTCTTCCTTTTCTTGCCCTTATCCTTAGAGGCATAGGCCAAATGAGCATTTTCTGTCTTATCTTGCTTCAACCTGTCTTCTTCTTGCACACAGTATGAAATGAGCTCATTTAGAGTCCATTTCTCCTTTTGACAGTTATAACTGACTTTAAATTGATTAAACTATGCAGGAAGAGACAACAGACAGATGCATTAGCTGAAATAAACAAAAGATTTTTAACCTTAATTAGTGATCAATATAATTCAAATAATGATAAATCCCATCTCAAGGTATCTGGTATAACATTAATATCAAGTCTTTGGACAGTAATATTAATTGCAAGTGATACCTTGTTGCAATGATCAAATACTGACAATAACGCATGTCAAATAATGAAACTATCTTTGGATCGATTCATTATCCACATGTAAACCTTATAATCGTCACGTATTTATCATCACAGATGCGTATGCAATCTAAAAATAAATAATAACCTTCCTTTGGGCCGATTAAATATTTACACGAAAACATACACACAAACATCTAACATCCCTCATAAACAATCTACACAAGAGATGTTACTTTGGCAACTTCTTGTTTTAATCGATCATTTAGAATGAAAGACAACTTTAATACCTTAGTGTCATATTATTTGAAATAACTAATTGATCCACTACCAAATTTAATTTAAATTAAATAATTTAATTTAAATCAACTGAATTTCCATAGCTTAATTAAGGGCCCATAATGAATTATGACCCACAAATAGGATTTAATTGATAAATTCAATTAATCCTTGTGCCCAAAACGAGTTTAAAGGAGCTTATACCTGATAATTAAATACAGGTCCAAATTCTTAATAAATTTCTCAAGTCAAGGCCCAATGTTTAAAAAGGGACACCAGAATGAACGCAAGGCTCATTTTGGAACAAACGCAAGGCTCGTTTTGGAACGAACGCAAGGTTCGTTTGACTGAGCACGAGGCTTGCCGTAGGTTTCGACGAACGTAGATTTCGACGAACGCAGGTTTCGACGAATGCAGGTTTCGACTGTATTGAGTACGAGACTCACTTAAGCACGAACGCGAGGTTCGTCTGAAAATGAACGTGAAGTTCAACTTGAGAACGAACGCGAGGTTCGTTTGAAAAATGAACGCGATGTTCGACCTGAGAATGAACGCAATGTTCAACTTGAGCACGAACGCAATGTTCGTCTAAAAACGAACGCGATGTTCGTCCTGAGAATGAACGCAATGTTCGACTTGAGCACGAACGCAATGTTCGTCTGAAAACGAACGTGATGTTCGACCTGAGAATGAATGCAACGAATGAACGAACGCAATGTTCGTTTGAACGCAATGGACGAGTGAACGCAATGTTCGTTTGAGAACGAACGCAGCGTCAACGAACGCAGCGTTTGACGAACGCATGTTTCATTAGAGAACGAACGTGGGTTCGTTTGAGAACGAACGCAAGGTTCGTTTGAAGCTTTCAAGCCTCGCCAAAAAATTGAGGTAACCACCTCCTTAAATTGAGGTAACCACCTCCTTAATTTGAGGTAACCACCTCCTTAAATTGAGGTAACCACCTCCTTAATTTCCGCACGTTTTCACGCGCACGAACCCCTTGAGGGTTTAATCTGAAACCGCCGCCGCTGAATCAACTCCGACGAGGAGTTTTGGAGATTGACGACAAATCAAAAAATCCCAAAAAAATAATTATTTTTCTGTCGATTTTTGAACTCAAATCATTTAGATCCAAACCTCAATAATTGAATCAAACACAAAAGAAATGAACTTTAGAGTTCATAAATGCTACAAATCCAAAAATCGAAAGAAATAACCAAACAACCTGGAAATTTTACTATTCATCCAAAAATAAAAACCTTTACTGTTCATCCAAAAAATAATTTTTTACTGTTCATCCAAAAATAAAAAATTTGCTGTTCACCCGAAAATAAAAAACGGTTACTGTTCATCCAAAAATAAGAAACTTTATTGTTCATCCGTGAACGGATCTGAATCAAACACAAATTAAGATCAAAGAACCCTAATTTTAAAACCTTAAATCCCTAAGAATTAATCAAAGATGGCTCTGATACCACTTGTTAGATCTAATAAGAACTTGAGATCTAAAACCATATAGCCATGATTAATTCGAAGAGATTGACAATAATCAAAAGAGCGGAAGCTTATATCTGAATCCATGGATGAACCTTGAGATGAGTTTTGGATCTTCTAACCTTAGGGTTTCTCTAAATCCGAATTTCTCTAGCTAGATGGGGGTGTAGAGAATTAGAGAATGTAACCCTAGGTTAGGGACCATAACCCCTTATTTATAGATGTTGTACTTTTACAATTTGGCCCCTCAACAAATCACAATTACAACCTGATATCTGCACATATAACCCCATGACTTATTTAAATACCCATTAACCCAACTTTATTGATCACTTTAGTGGGTTATCCTAAAAGATAGCAATACACATTGATTAATCATATGTGCCCACAATTAGATTTATTAGATTAAATCCAACAATATTGTCTCCATAAATATTTAAGAAGACGCTTGAAGAAAAGCTGATGAAGTCAGCAAGGAGTCCGATCAAAAATGGTCACAGTAACATTTTCTTAGGGAAATGTAAACTTTCTATTTTTCCCAGCATTTACAATTGAATCATGTTTTTCCTGATAGTTCAGGATTTATAAGAACTAAAGAAAATAGTTTCTCTCTTGCTCAATGAAGATAATTTGTTTCACTTTCCATTTTCCCAACATTTACAACTTCATCATGTTTTCCCCAATATTTTAGGATTTCCCCATAAAAGAACTAAAGAAATAATCTCTCTTGCTCAGTGAAGATAATTTGCTTCCCAGTTTAAAACTTCGTTACCAGTTCAGCTACTACTTTATATAAAAGTAGGGGGGATCATCCAGATCTGGGAAAAGCAATTTCCAACAATTGCAGCCTGCTTAAGTGGGGATTCAATCGTTGTGATATTTGTAATGACGGTAGGGAGCATCCAAATCCAATTGAATGCTAGGATCCGCAACGCACAAATTACAACTGCAAACCACCCAACAGAACAATTTCAGCGGTCTACAAGCAAGCCGTGAGGGAACACGGTGCCCTTCAATTAAATCAGAGGCACAATCTCAAACATCAAAGCAAATCGCCTTCAATACTTCTCCAATCAGAGAAGTAAACGAAACAACTACTATACAAATGAAACAATTAGCACAACTAAAGCAAGCAGAGACCATTAACATCAAGTACATCGGACCGCTCACTTCTGAAATAGTAGCATATTAGCATACTACATAAGAATATTTCTTCAAACACTTGCTATACATGCAGTTACAGAACCAATCAATCAGTGATAATCAAGCGGTGCTGGACACCCCTTCAACTCCTGCCCTTGGTAATGAATATCCTGCAAAAATCAACACCAAACCAAATACAGTAAGATCTCCCTAACTCAATATCCATGAAGTTCCAAAACTTTGCAATATATAGAAAGAAGAAAAAAAAAGTATATACCGAAGCATAGTGATTAACGTCACGGTGATGAGCCTCATCAGCCCTCACAACCATCACCACATCTCGAAGAGTAGCATTAGCCGGTAGACGCCAGTAATCAATAGCAATCGCAGGGGCGGGGACATTCTCAATAGCACCCTTGTCGAGCTCCTTGAGGAACTCCGTATACGAATGGATGGCCTCTTCCTCGAGATAACCCACAACACGATGAGCGAATTTGGGAGAGATGACGTAGCCCAAGAAGTAGGCGTTGAAGAACACTCCCTGTACAGCCATTACAAGAGCACGCTCGTACCATTTGGGCTGTGAGACCTCCATGAATGTCATGAGATGCATTCTCTCGTTCTCTGCTTCTTCTAGAAGTGCGCGGATCCAACCGCCGCTGGGTTCAAAGCGACGGAGGGAGCGGAGGTGCAGGAGCATTCCCCCGACCATTCCAGGGACTGCAGCTACAGTTTCAAGCATCATAGCACGGCAACCGTACCTCCTCTGTTCACAAGGGGGGAGGAAAATTAGTGCTAGTTTCTACCTCCTCTGCCTAAATTATACAGAGTATATATGGACTTACTATTTATACTGTAGCCTTATTATAAGCAAATAAAATTCATATTAAAATTAGAGGTAAACCTCAAAGGTACTTATTTTGTTTATCAACCTAGAACAGAATAGAATAATGTTAAAATTGCATCAATTCCTTGCATATTCTCGAAGTACAGAGGAAGAAAGCATCCAGGATAGAGTTAAAATGGTTTGTTAGCTTCAAACATCTTATTCTAGTCTAGTTATTTATTAAACAATAGATTCCAATTTCCAACAACTCAGAATTGATTGAAATACCCCTAACAATGAAAATTAAGAAAAGAGTATGGTAGGCTACACTACTTAAATTCTTTTGAAGTAGTATTGCAGGGTGATACCAAAATTACTCTTTTACTCGTAAAAAGTAAAAGTGTGCAACCCGTTCAAAGC